TCTCCTTGTGGACACTTGTCGAGGCCCCTTTCCAGCCTCCCAGACTCCTCTCCCCCCAGGGTTTCCTTAAGGCCTCTCAGGCCCCACACCCAGCAAGCTGTGCCCAGCAGATCTGACAGGCACTGCGTCTGTTCCTGCCTCTCTCCTTCTATGGGATGTTGAGGTCCCCGAGAGCAGGGACTGTCCCACTTCACGGAACCCCTGGCTCAGCCCTGCTCACGGAGGTGTAGTAACATCTGAGGCGTGAGAAGGACAGTGCTGGGGGCGGGGGTGGGTGGAGGTGTGACTGTGACACATTCAACCCCAGGGACAGAGAAACACCACTTCAGGTGAGAGTGAGGTATGACCACACCTGTCAGCTTCGCAGTTTACCAGAGGTGACAAGTCTTCCCTTGTACCCCGGGTCCTTCATCAGAAGCTGGATCTTGTTGTTGTTGTTAGAAAATTGCCAAGTAGTTACCTATCTAGTCTTTCCTTCTGACGTTTATAAACGCTGGCGCTTTTTACTAAGAGTATAAATGCTAACTCCTAAAGGTGAAGTGTATAAACTCCAGTGATATTTACACTTTCAATAAACACCCAGCTCAGGGAGTTCCCTGGTGGCGCAGTGGTTGAGAATCTACCTGCCAGTGCAGGGGACACGGGTTCGAGCCCTGGTCTGGGAAGATCCCACATGCCGCGGAGCAACTAAGCCAGCGCGCCACAACTACTGAGCCTGCGCTCTAGAGCCCGCGAACCACAACTACTGAAGCCCGCGCGCCTAGAGCCCATGCTCCGCAACTAGAGAAAGCCCGCGCGCAGCAATGAAGGCCAAATGCAGCCAATAAAAAAAAAATAAGAAGAAGAAGAAGAACAACTTAAAACAAAAAAGCAAATAAAACACCCAGCTCAGGTCACTGCGGTTTTACTCACCCTTTTCTTCTCTTCTCTCTCTCTCAGTAAGGTATCTCTGTCCACCAACTTGACCACAGTGGGCAGTCCTGAAAGGCCAACAGCCGTGAGACGAGGCCGAGCCCAGCGCTGCCCACACCACTCCCGCCCACAGGGCCCCCGAGAGAAGCCAGGGCCTCCTTCCTGCTCGCACAGGTCAAATGTTAATTGTGCTGTGGGGAGGCCTTGCTGCTCAAGACCAAGCACCCAGGAGTCATAAAATAAGACATTCATCTGAGTGTTTAAAATCCAGTAATTTTCCGTGCAGCCCAAACTCCCACCAAGTCGAAACACAAGCTGTGAGACTTGCTGACAATCCCCATGACACAGGCGGCCTCCCAAGTGGCAGGCCATGAGAAAAGGCGGCCAGTGGCCCCGCAGAAACAGGGCCGCCGGGCAGTCAGGCTGCAAGAAGAGGAGGTGCTGGCAGTGATGCCCAAGAAGGTACAACTACAGGTCCCCCGGGACCACGCATCACGGAGGGTTCACCACATAAAAGACGAAGCGTCCTCGGACCTGTCCCGGAGTTCTTCCCCTCAAAAGCAATCTCCACCCTGTGTCCCTCCCCCGACCCGGTGTCACGCCCAGAGGACCCACCTTCATGGTCTTCAAACCGCACTCCCAGCTCAGGCAGGATGTCGTCCCGCAAGGCATCACTGAGCTGCAGGACCTCGGGGACTGTGGACAGAGGAAGCGGTTCGGTCCACCGGGCCCGGAAGTGCCCGGGCCCCACGGAAGAGTGCCCCCCTGTGCCTCTGGAGGAGCCGGGCTGCTCCACTGGCCACGGACGCAAGAGAAGCCGAGACACAGATGTCGCGGCCACTGGTGAGCCCAGAGCAGCCCCTGGACCCGTGGCCTGTGCACCGGCTCAGGGCCCTGCTCAGAGGCGGGCACTGACCGCAGAGGCGCACGGACTGGGGAAAGCCCTGCGGGCGGCAGGCCCAGGGGCACTAGGATTCTGTTGCACAGGAATGAGCTCCCCGGTCACTCGGGAAGGCGCCTGGGAGCGCCGGGCCCCCAGGGCCCTGGCAAGGCGATCCTGAGAGAGGCGGCCGCGTCCCACCGTCAAGGGCCCCGGCCCAGCAAGGGATCAGAAGGGGCCAAAGGCCTGGGGGTGGGACCCACACCCCACCTCAGCGACACTCTGCCTTGGGCACTGGCGCTGCTGGCCAGCCTCGCCCCGGCCGAGGGAAGTGGCCACCCAGAGCTGGGCTTGAACGGGCAGCGGCCCGGGGAGCCTGGCCGGCCCACTGGCTTTGAAGTGCCTCTTCCAGGAGAGACAGCACACGAAGCAGCCAGAGTGGGCAGAGCTGAGCAGACGGCTGGCATGGCCTCTGGGCCTGACGGGACGGGCCCTTCAAATCTGGACAGTGTTAATCTCTGCACTGCCTGGTTAGGGCTGGTGAAGGCCCAGGAGCTCGGGGGAGCCTGGGATAGTCCTGTAACGGCCATCACGGACGGCGCCCAGGGTGTCTGATGCCCAGCCAGACCAGGGAGAGGCCAGCCCGTTTGTACTTGGGCTTGAAGAGCCCATGTGGGCTCAACCCCTACTAAACACGTTCATGCAGACATCAGGAGGGGCTCACCCAGACATTCCAGCTCTGAGACGCTGACCTCAGGGTGAAGCAGATTCAGCTTTGGGCTAAGAACTGGGCCACTGGGAACTCCTGCTGGTGCCAGCAAAGCAGACCCCTCCCGCCCTGCCCTGTCCCTCCCCGCAGCACTGACCACGGCCCACGTGGTCACTCACTCACCTGTCCTGTCTCCACTGTGTCCCCAGAACCCAGTGTGCTCCTGCAGCACTGTGCCGGTGCCCCACAAGTCCACTCACGGGTGAATGAATGAATGGACAATGACCCACACATCTCAGGGGATGCCCGAGCCCCGGCCACACGTGCAGCCAGACGCACAGTCTCCCACTTCCCAACGCCAGTCAAGGAAAAGCCCCGTTCCAGCCCCGCAGCAGGGCTGGTGGGACGAGGCCCTTTATATTTGGTCCCTCCCCTCATTCTGCCCCTCGGGGCCCCTTGCTCAGATGGGTCCCCCCCAGAGCCCTGAGGAGACCCCAGGGCACCGGCCCAGGCAAGTGCCCAACGGACGCTTGCTCACCGTAACGGGAAGGGGAAGCAGGCTGGCCCTGCCATCATTGCCACCAACTCCCCTCCACACCCTCAGGCCCAACCCTGCCTCCCCGCCATACCCCCAGGGGAGGGACACCCCTCCCTCGGGCCCCTCAGGTGCCATCCTCTAGGTGGCCTCCACGAGGCTGAGAGAGTGACCCTCACCTCCATCTGAGACCTGCTCTGGTCCATGGAGCTCAAACTTGCCCCCAGGATTTCTCTCCAAACCTTTTTCTCACTTTAGGAGCTGGCTTTCTCCTCCTCCCTCTTCCGACACACATTTCTGAAGAGGGTCTAGTGCCCACGATAAAGAAAGAGCTCCTACAGCTCAATGAGACAAATGACCCAAATAAAAACGAGCAAAGGGGGACTTCCCTGATGGTGCAGTGGTTAGGAATCCGCCTGCCAATGCAGGGGACACGGGTTCGAGCCCTGGTCTGGGAAGATCCCACATGACGCAGAGCAACTAAGTCCGCGTGCCACAGCTACTGAAGCCCGCACACCTAGAGCCCGTGCTCCGCAGCAAGAGAAGCCACCGCAATGAGAAGCCCGCGCACCGCAACGAAGAGCAGCCCCCGCTCGCCGCAACTAGAGAAAGCCTGCGCGCAGCAACAAATACCCAAAAAATGCAGCCAAAAATAAATAAATAAAAATAAATAGATTTACTTTAAAAGTTATTAAAAAAAAAAATACAACAAAAAACGAGCAAAGGGCCTGAATAGACAACTCTCCAAAGGAGAGGTTCAGACGGCCAAGCTGCTCGTTGTCACTACTTGTCAGGGAAAATGCAAATCAAAGCCGCAATGAGATTCCCCTTCACACCCACCAGGACGGCTGTTAACAATAATAAACAGAAAATAAAAGGGGCTGACAAGGATGTGGAGAAATTGGAACCCTCGCGCACCGCTGGTGGGAACACATAGTGGTTCAGCCACCATGCAAAACACTGAGTCTTGAAAAAGTTAAACACAGAATTACCGTATGATCCCACAATTCCTCTCCTAAGTGTGTACCCAAAACAACTAAAACAGGGACCCAACCTGATGCTTCCACATGCATGTTCACAGCAGCCCTGTTCACCAAAGGTGCAAACAGTCCAAACACCCATCAACGGCTGAAAGGATAACTGGAAGCGGTATACGTATCTGGTGATTGTTCTGCCCTAAAGATAATAATGAAGCACCGCCACACGCTACAGTGTGGACGACCTCGAAAACATTCTGCTGAAAAGCCAGAGAAAAGAGGTCACACGCCGTGTGGCTCCATTTATGTGAAATGCCCAGAACAGGTCAATCCAGAGACAGAACACAGGTTGGTGGTTGCCAGGGGCTGGGGCAGGGGGCGTGACCCTGGAGGGTGGAAACATGTTGGGACCAGAAGGAGATGATGGCTGCACAACACGGGGAAGGCACTAAGCGCCACTGAATGGTTCACCTTAAAATGGCCAGGCTTATGTTACGTGAATTTCACTTCAGTGTTATTTTTGTTTAAAGGGAAAACCCCAGTTGGATATTTTCAAGGAATTCAATAAACCAACTCTTAAACATACGGAACAAAGGTCTCAGAACAGCTAATGCAACCTTAAAAGAAGAGCACAGACGGGGAGCTTGCCTCCAGGGTGGGGTGGGGGAAGAAGCCCGTACATGGAGACAGAAGATGCTGTCCCCCACCCCACCCACCTGCCATACCAGCAGGAGTGAAGCCAAGGCTTTTGGGGTCTTCCAAATGCTGTACAAATCCGGGTCTGAAGTTGCGGCTACTGAGTCTGGGGCTGGGATGGAACCTCGTGCAAGGCCCAGACAGGAGCGGAGGCTGCCCCGTGGAGAACAGGCACTGGGACAGCAGTGGGGATGGGCGGATCTGTGTGGACCGGCTCCCAGTGGTGGGTGCACAGAGATGGGGCGGCCGGTGGCTGGCGGGGCCCCTTCTGGAAGGAAGCAGCTGCACCACCACGACGGAGCCCAGCAAAGGAAAACAGGTTTCCCTGGACGTGGGCCAAGGCGGCGACCTTCCCAGGGCACCTGGCAAAGCGTGCTAGCCCCAGGGACCTCACAGCCCTGCAGATGCCAAGGGGCTCTGACTCCAGGCTCTAGAAGGGAAGGAGCGTGTCTCTGTGTGGCCATCTGCTGGACGCCCCTGCCAGCACCTCCCCGTACCCTGCAACTGCGGTCCGCACCCTTCCCCGTGTGTACTGTCCACAGAGCCACAAGGCTCAGGGCGGGGCAGCCTGCATCCATCTGGGCTGGTTACTGTGGGGCAGGGCTGTGACACGGGAGAGGAAAACAGATGGGCAGTGAGCAGGGAGACCTTGTCGGGCGCAGGCTTGGAGATGCTACAAAAGGAGACGGGATCCATCCACAGATGAACGGATGAGCAAAATATGGTCCATCCACACAGTGGAATGTTACTCAGCCTTAAAAAGCAAGGGAGAGGCTTCCCTGGAAGGGCACAGTGGTTAAGAATCCGCCTGCCAATGCAGGGGACACAGGTTCGAGCCCTGGTCCGGGAAGATCCTACATGCCGCAGAGCAACTAAGCCCGCGTGCCACAACTACTGAGCCTGCACTCTAGAGCCCGTGAGCCACAACTACCGAGCCCGCGTGCAACAACTACCGAAGCCCGCGTGCCTAGAGCCCGTGCTCCGCAACAAGAGAAGCCACCGCAATGAGAAGCCCACGCACCGCAACGAAGAGTAGCCCCCGCTCGCCTCAACTAGAGAAAAGCCCACGTGCAGCAACCAAGATCCAGTGCAGCCAAAAATAAATAAATAAATTTAAAAAAAAAAAAAAAAAAAAAGGAAGGGAATCCTGACCCAAGCTACAACGTGGATGAACCTTGAGGACATTACGCTCAGTGAAATAAGCGAGACGTAAAAGGACAAATGCTGCCTGATTCCACTAACATCAGGTCCCTGGAGGAGTCACGTCCACAGAGACAGAAAGTAGACGGTGGGGATGAGGGGTTGGGGGAGGGGAGGGGAGTGAGTGTTTAACGGGGACAGTTTTTTGGGAAGATGGAAGGTTCTAGAGATGGATGGGGGTGATGGTTCAAAACAATGTGAATTACTTAAGGCCACTGAACTTTACACTTAGAAATGGCTGAGGTGGTAACTCCTACATTGTGTATATTTAACCACAATAAAAAAACGACGACAGCTAATGGCTACCATCTCTCCAGTGGCAGAGAGGCTCCTGATGCCCTGCCGGGCTCCCGTTCTGACCGTGTGCCCGGCCCGGCCCTTCTAACGTCTTCCCAATTTCCCAAGCCTCTCCTGGTCACACACCCACGCTCCACATCCTTGCTGGCCAGGCCTGACCTCTCGGGCCAAATGGACTGTGGGCATTGCAGGAGGGACTGCTTCTTGCTTCTCTGTCGGTAGAGCCCCCCTGCTCTGCTGGCCCTGGGACAGGCCCCGGCCAGCTCCCGCCCCGCCCCGGGGCCTGCCCGCTCCCCCCTGAGGCACAGCTTCCCTGGAGGCTCCCTGACCGCCTATCTGGCCTCTGCCGGCTCCACCCTTGGGGCGCCCCGCCCGGATGAGCTCCAGGTGTGACTTCTCATCACACAGGGGACTGGGAGGCGGGGGCACAGCACACCAGGCGATGACGGTGGGGGTCTGCCCCGACCCCCGTGTGACCCCAGGCAAGGCCTCTACCTTCCAGGGGCTTCGCTGCCCACCTCTGTCGAATCACGAAGATTAAAGAAGCAACGTGAGGACAGCAGCTGGACCAGGCCCGGAACCTTGCAAGGTCAGTTTTAGCCGTGGTGGTCATTTGTGAGTCCAGACCACCACAGTAAGAAGCAGACTGCCGGCCTGAGGCCACTCACCGCCTGCTTAACAACGGCTCAAAACTGGCCCCAAAGACAACACGTTTGATCCCAGCTCATCCCAAGTCCCCAGGGCCGCTGGCGAGGCCCCGAGCAGAACCTAGAACTGTCCCCAGCGGAGGCTGTGCAGTCACCACGGAGCCTCTGCGGGGCAGGGACAAGGACACCTCCAGTCCTCACCCTGTGGACGCCCCAGAGAGCAGAACCGAGTCCCCACAAACAAAAGAGGTGAGGAAACGCTGGCCCCTCACAGTGTCCCCAGGCTCCGCCCGGCTGCCCTGACCGTAGGGGCACTTGGCGTCTAGACGTCTGTGTGGCTACCAGGACTTGACTGTGGCAGGGGGTGTCCCTGGATCTAGTGATCAGAGGCCAGGGATGCTGCTCATCACCTACAACACCCAGGACAACTTGCAGCAGAGGACCGGCCAGGCGTGCCCAGGCCACGGAGCGTGTGATGGCCTCACCTCTGTGCTCACGGGCGACCCTTCGCACTCCTTCCCGGAACTCCGACAACACCTGCAGGTACGGCATGACTGTGGGCTCGAGCTGCGGAGAGAACATCTTGGGTCACCGAGAGACCAGCCACCCTCGTGTTTATGACGGACAGAGCCCAGTACACACGCCGCAGGGCAGGGCTGCCAAGGGACGTGTGGCTGGCGGACGCCCCCTTGTGACCCGCGTCCAGGGTGCGTGTGTCCATCCCCGACGGTCGGCTCACGGACACGGGGGCGCCCCGCGTGGCGGCGCGGACAGCACAGTAAGTGGGTCCCCTTCCCCCGAGCGAACTGAGTCCTGTGGGCGGCCACGCCCAGTGGCTCACAGGAGCCCCTTTGGCTCAGGCAGACACACGGCTGTTAAAAGCCTGTCCCTAAGGTGACACTGGGCGTTCCCAGGAGGGATGGTTTTCTGAGGCTCAGGCCTTTCCTCCTGGGCTGGGGCCTCCCTTCCACTGGGGCCGGCACCACAGAGCCCAGCCGTGCTTGGGTCCGACCTGAGGCCACACACACGCCTGTATACCATCAACTGTCTGCTGTCCACACGCACTCTCACGTCTGCGCAACACTGAACCACCCGCGGTGACTCAGAGGCGGCCATGGGACGCAAAGCCCACTGGAAAAGGAAAACCCAAGAGGGCGAATCCAAATCAGAGAAATAACAATTTTATGGAAAACCTTTTTTGTTACATCTACCACATTTTTCCACTAGACTTTGGAGCAAGGTCTCTGTGCCTCTTAATTAAGTCATTCGGCAGCTCAGTGACCAAAATCTCAACAATTAAATGCAAAGGCTGGTGAGGCCGCCAAGCCCTCAGCACGGCCTAAGCCACTTCAGGCCCAATCTTGCACGAGGGCTGAGGACACGCCTACCCGCCCGCTCACGGCGCAGGGGAGCCTTGCTGCGGGGAGCTGGCCAGCGTGCCTGAGGTCGCCCTGGAGGAGGGTCTCAGGCCGGCACCCCCAGCGGCCCAGCTGACTACACTACCCGAGCACACGCTGTAGACCGCTCAGTACTAGGTGGTTCAAGACCCGCTCCTAAAACAATGCAAGTCTGGAAGTAAATCCGTGAACTCTGAAAGGCGTGACTTTGGGCCCGTCCTTCGGCCCAGCCGGCACCCACCACGCTTCTCGGGGCCGCTTATTCCAGGCGGCTGTCTTCAAAGGGCGGGTGGAGGAGGCTCGGGGGCCATAAACACCAGGCATCCGATGTTGGACGCATTTTTTTATTTTTTATTTTTGTGGTACGCGGGCCTCTCACCGCTGCAGCCTCTTCTGCCGCGGAGGCTCAGCGGCCATGGCTCACGGGCCCAGCTGCTCCACGACACGTGGGATCCTCCCGGACCGGGGTACGAACCCGTGTCCCCTGCATCGGCAGGCAGACTCTCAACCACTGCGCCACGAGGGAAGCCCTGGACGCATTTTTTTAAAGCTCAAAGGCAGACTTCCTTTAACCAAGGTGTTTCTAGTGCGTGTGTGTTTCTCCTTAAAGAAAATACACGTCTAGTATTGCTTACACGAGAAAACAAAGCAACCGCGTGGGTTTCCTTCCTAAAAAGCACCAAGTACTGCAGCAACAGCCACTTCCAAGGCTGACAAGGGGCCCGGGGACAGGGCCTGGAGTTCTGTTTTCTGGGGTGGAAGTCGGCTCCTGGGGAAACACCCCTAAACTCCGTCCGCAGGAGAGGGTGCCTCACGCCGTCCCTCGCTGGGTAACAGGACTTTTAAAAGGTTTTGCCTTTTTACTTTGGACGTGACCCGTTACGTGTAAGCATTTACATGTGCCTTCTAACCAAATACTTAAAGAATGTTCCTGACCAGGGGAGGAGGGCGAGCGCGTCTCAGATGAACCTGAGTGGTGCCTGTCCTACGTGATGTTCCTCCCGCAGCAAAAACCGTGTGTCTGCCTGGATGCCAAGTACGAAGGAGACACTGACAACCACCGGCGCATTTTCTCACTTGCACAGACCCACTGGACAGATGGTTCCACGTGTTGTCTGCCTACAGGTACACGCGTGCCGGGAAACGCGGGTGCGGGACTCCTGACACCCTGCGGCCGTCGTGATGCCCATGGCCGTGGAGGTGCCCCGCGGCCATGGCTCAGATGCCTGGGGGCTGAGGACCGTCCCGTGCAACCTGGTCTCCTGGGACAGAGCTCACAAAGACAACACAGCTGGCGGTGAGGACGGGGGCGGACTGTGCCCAACTCCCCAGCCAGGCCGAGACTCGGCCACGTGGGGCTCAGGCTGGAGGGCCCAGGGCAGGCTGGGACCTAGTGCTGGTCTCAGACGCCCCAGGAGGGAACACCAAACTGGCGGGGTGGCCAGCAGGGAGCTTCTCTGGGCCCAGGTGTGCTTTACTCACATTGAGGCTGGTTCCAGGTCCTCCGACGGGGAAACCCAGGGAGCTTTCCTCTTCTATGGCCCCGAAGATCTAGGGAAGAAACAAGCATGCAGGACAAGAGGTCCTGAGAGATGGCAGGCAGGGACCGGTCCTTGAAACATGCCGCTGCGCCCGGGAGGGGCGGGCGCAAGTGCCGATGGCCTTGCTGGGTGCGGAGAGATGGAAACCTAGGCCTGGGTGCCCCCGCACCTGCCCCAGGACGAGGTCTGGCTCCCGCTGCCCCTCCGGCCCCTTCCCAGCCTGAGCCGCTGGACCACGGAGCCCCCTGCAGAGGACCCGGGACTTGTCAGCACGAGGCGGGCGTGGTGAACATGTTAGGGCCACCTGTGGGAGAAAGCCCTTGTGCTTTTCAAACCTCCAGACAGGAGGGGAAAAGCAGAGGCAAAGAGGCGAAATTGCTCAGAGCGAGGGCAGGGGCGGGGGGCTTGCTGTCTCGGGCACAGGCACGGCAGGACCTGAGAACAGCGCGGCGTGGCTCCCGTGACCCGCGGGCCCACTGGCACCGTCGCAGGGGGCTCACCTTCAGCATGTGCGTGAGGTACCGGGCGATGCTCTCCAGCAGGGTGCGGCTGGGCCTCCTCCTCGCGGCCTTCCGCGCGGCCATGTAGTGGTTGCACTGGCCGACCAGAGCCCGCATCTCCTCCAGGGCGGTGCGCGTGTCGACGTTATCACAGAGCGCCTCATGAACCGCAGCCTTCTTGTCATAAAAGCTGAACGGGAAGCGGAAGAGGAAGGCGGGGGGCGTCAGACGGACGACCTTCCCGGGTCGGCCCGTTCTGAGCGTGGCTCTGCACGAGCGGGAGGGACGGCGCCACCGGCCTCCCCGCTGGCGGGCGTGCTGTGGGGACCGCCCATGGGCCCCAGAGAGAAGGCGCCGCCTCACCTCTTGTTCAGCTCTGTTTCCTTGTCTTCCCACTTCTCAAACTGACCGGCTACCTCGACGGGGGCTCGGAGGAGGTCTTTCACGTTTAAGAAAAACTCCTAAAATATGAAAATTCCTCTTAAGAGCATTCAGACCTTTCCATCCCAGAGAAACCTGGGAAAGAGCCGTTCTACTGACGTGCCTCCACTGCAGGTGCGATCTGAACGTCACACAGGTGTAGGAAGGGAAGGGAAAGGTTTTCCTGTGAGACAAGTGGGTCCAGTTTCAGCCTTGGGGGCCCCTGAGGTGCAGCCAGCGGGTGGGGCTGAATGAAAGGCGCCACACGTGACATGAGGTGTCTTGGGAAGGTGGCGCGGAGCTGGCCTCCCCCCGGAGCTTAGTGGCCTTGGCCGCGTCCCGTCCCCTCTGGGGCACGCGGGGAGCAGGCACCACCTCCCCCTGTGCTGGCCCAGAGCTGCCCCGGGGAGGCGGGACCCACGTTCAGGAGCTTCTCGTACTGCAGCGCCGACTCCATGGTGTTGGCCGAGTAGTCCAGCGCGTCCTTCCACGAGTGCATGAGGAAGGCCAGGCGCAGCTGCCGGGCTGGGGAGAGAGGTGCGGGGCTCCTTACCTCCCGAGCAGCTCCGGCCCCGCGCCTCCGCCAACAGAAGCGCCCGGTACCTGAGTGCCTCTTCAGTGCGTCTTTAACGGTGATGAAGTTCTTGAGTGACTTGGACATCTTGCAGCCGGCGATGGTCAGGTGGCCCGTGTGCAGGAAGTATCTGACCCAGCAGTCGTTCGCAAAGTAGGCCTGAGTGGACAGGGCGGGCGCGGGGGTCACGGGCGCTGCCGCGGGCCAGACAGAGGGTGCCGGCCGCTTTCTGGGCGCCTGACGTGCAGAAGGAGTGCCGCCCGGCGCGGATTCGGGCCTGCGCTGCCAAGGGCAAGGCTGCTCACACGCGAGCCGGACTGAGTACTGCGGTTCAGAGCCCCTGACGTGGAGGCCAGGCTCTTCTGGGGAGCACCTCACCAGCCCCCACGCGTGCCCAGGACGGCAACCTTGGCCCCTACCTCCGACTGCGCCAGCTCATTGTCGTGGTGGGGGAAGCGGAGGTCGAAGCCCCCTCCGTGAAGGTCCATTGAGGCTCCGAGGAGGGTGCCTGCCATGGCCGAGCACTCGATGTGCCACCCTGGACGCCCCTAGGGACCCAAATGTGGTGAGCGTCCTGACCGCCCGCCATGATGGGCCAGGACTCGCTCCCCTGTCCACGACCCTCAGAACCCCTGAGCTCTATGGGAACGAGGGTCAAGTCCCGCACACGAAAAGACGAATGGGGCCCCAGGCTGTAAAGGTCACAACAAGCTTTGCGAAGGCCGAGGAATCCCCCGCTCCCAACACCCCTTCCCGCAGCTCTGGGCCACCAGGACTGTTGTCACAGGGGATGTCGGAGGGCGGATCCGTCCCCTAGTACCCCGGGTCAGAGACTGTCGGGACAGGGGCCTCCGAGGCTGTCCAGTGCCACCACCCCAGCCCTGCAGCGGAAGACGCAAGTCCCAGGAAGGGAGGGAGGTGACGGCCCCAGGCCCGGGCGCCCCATCCCGGGTGCTCACCTTTCCCCAGGGGCACGGCCAGGATGGCTCCCCAGGCTTGGAGGCCTTCCAGAGGGCGAAGTCGCTGGGGGACCGCTTCTCACTCAGGCGCTCGGCCGAGATGCTCAGGTCGCCTGTGGACACAGGGGAGGCAGGTACTCGGTGGATGGAATTGTCTCGGTCCAGGGACGATTCAGGTACTTGTTTGTTAACTTGGTCAGGCACTCCTTCAAGTTGACTGTGACCAGATTTTGGAGTTGCCCAGGGTCTAGTTACGAAGCCCTAACCACGAGCTCAGAAGCCACGAGCTCAGAAGCCACGGCCTCACGAGCCGGCGTCCAAGGGCGACGACCCCCAGACCTGGACCTGCACCCCCCGCCTCCACTGCCGCCCCACCTCGGCCCCTCGTCTAGGACAACGACAGTGCCTGGCCCGGAGTGTGAGGTGCTCCTCTCATGGGCCTGCCTCGGGGACCCAGGCTCATGCAGGCGGGATCTTGTACTAACACCCGGCGGGCCTCTTGGCTGTGGTTCTGGGGGGCATAAGGACGACCAGGCTGCTGTGTGGCCTCCCCAGCCTGGAGGTGGCAAATCAGGACACTCGCTAGTCCTCCCGTGTCCATACTGGGCAGCTGCGGGAAGGAGGCTATGGACCAGTCGGAACCCAAGAGCGAACGGGAGCACTGCTCCCTGGGCCAAGTTCAGTTTCTTCGGAAGATGCCCCCGCTCCCTCCCTACACCCCCGTGAATGCAGAAAAAGCCAGCCAGAAAGGGAATCCACGGCCCCACGAGAGACCTCCCCAGACCACGTGCTGGGGCCATGGACACATCAGCCTCCTGAAAACGAACACCCACCGGTCAGCCCAGCCTGCAGGTGGAGCATCCCCAAGGGGGGAGGCAGGGGGGGCTGCTTGCTGGGTGATGGGGCCTCTGCCCGGCACTCAGGCCCTAGAGGGCCTCACCAGGGCACCTGCTGGAAAACTCCAGAACAGGAATGACTCTCATTCTCCTGTCCAGGCTGCAAACACAGGATGACTGGAAAAAGGCCACTTTGGGAGGGACACGGTGCAGACGGAGGCACCACTGAACGCAAAGACTGTGACGGTGAAACAGGCACTAAACGCAGAATACTTGGAAAACACGAAAGAACCAGGAAAAGGTGCCACAGTTGGAAACGTAGGGATAACTACTATTAACATGTTGGTGTCTTGATTTGTGGGTTTGTGGGTTTTTTAATCCATGTTAGAAGAACATAGACACATCCAACAAACAGGACAAGCGCCACCCTGGTCTTGTATCTATTTTCTCACCGTGCGCATTTTAACCATGGCGTCGGCGACGGCAGTTATTCAAAAACGTAATCTGACCTGGCGCCGGGACCTTCTCTTTTACCCACCCTTTACTGGACAGATAACGTACCTTGAGGTTTTAAACTTTTCTTTATAATGAACATAGTTACTCACGAATGTATCTAACTTTAAAAATTAACTTTGAAAAATTCGGTAACAGAGGATCTGCTCTCTCACACACCCTTCCCCCACTCTGCATTTGACTCAAATGTCACTACCTGGTAACACTTGCTATTTGCTCCTGGTTTTTTAGGGAAAAGAGATAAACCACACGATCCCTCTGCTTCCCCTCTTGGTGTCATTTCTGGCCCCCCGACATGGCTCTCCCAGTGTGAGCCCCATGATCTGAATGGTCTGCCTCCGATGCCTGGCCCTGCTCAGCGGCCGTGAGTCTGAAACGCCGTTGGGTCGGATGGTCATGCTGTTAAACTAACTCAGTCTGTCTTTCCTCCATGTTTCTGTGTCGTCCTGTTTTAGGTTCTGATATCTCTTTAGAACAGAGCACTTGAGGTAAAGATACTTGATCAAAACGTATGAACATCGTACAGTCGTACATTGACGGCACTGTAACCTGTACAGTGAAGCTGCCTTTGTGTCCTGACAAAGACTCCTGAGTCTGTCTAAGGCATGAAGTCTGCGGAGACTCTGTCAGCAACCCAGGACTTCAGCTCAGTCCTGGACAGTGTCTCCCCCAACCGCAGCCCAGAAATTCACAAGTCTGCCTGGCCGCTGACCGTGCAAGGGCACAGACAGGAGTTTACCACCCGCCAGACCCTCTAATTGTTTAATATCTTCCACAACGTCTAATATATCACGTCTTTACAGCTACCTGTCCATTTATTGTCACATTTTGAAAATCTGGACATAAGGCTGGTATATACTTATGCTCTAAGTATACCTAATGGTGAAATTTAAATAAGGACAGGGACCTCGCCGGTGGTGCAGTGGTTAAGAATCTGCCTGCCAATGCAGGGGACACGGGTTTAAGCCCTGGTCCGGGAAGATCCCACATGTCACAGAGCAACTAAGCCCGTGCGCCACCACAACTACTGAGCCCGCACGCCACAACCACTGAAGCCCACGTGCCTAGAGCCCGTGCTCCGCAACAAGAGAAGCCACCACACCGCAACAAAAAATAGTCCCTGCTCGCTGCAACTAGAGAAAGCCTACGCACAGCAACAAAGACCCAACACAGTCAAAGGAAAAAAAAAAGAACATCCTTTACCTTAAAAAATAAATAAATGTAAGGACGATAAAAGTGAAAACTGTACCCGTGGTTAAAAAAAGATGAACATATTTATGGCCAAAGTGCCTCCCAGAAATGCTGGTGGATAAACAGCGTGTGTCCGGCACTGTGAGAGCAGCCCCTGCACTGCTCCCCCCGATTCACTGAGGGGGCGAAAGTAAACACTTATGAAAGACAAGTAGAATCCTGCCTGGTCCAGAAAAGGCACTGTGTCTCTGTTTAAAATGTTTGGATCAAGACGGGCCTGGGGCTGTCGTTATACACGGTCACACTCGCTGCACTGAGAACACAGCCGCTCTGAGCTGCTGCCCGAGCTTCTCACGGCAGGAGAGCTCTGTCCACAGCCACAGTCTGGACTTCCAGATAAGGACCGGGCTTCAGTTCCCGCCTTCCTTTTCCCACAGCCGCCTTACAAGTAACAGCTGCTCGCTCCTGCCCTGGGATGGGGGACTGCCCTTCCCCGCCCAGTGCCCACCTCCGGCCCTACTCGTGGGATCGGTAAGTAAACAATCTTGTGTCTACCCCCTTACTGGGGGTACTGCACGCCTTCGACCAAAGCATCCTGGGGTTTTCCCTCCACAGGCTCCCCGCTGCCCCGCGTGGGTGCATGTGCCCTCGTTCAGCACCGTCTGATTCCTCTCCACACACCCGCCTGGGTGTCCAGCACAGCCCACCCGACCCTTTGGTGCTCTGGGTGCCGAGAGATCAGCAAAGTCCAACCCCATGGCCGAGGCCCCGAGGTCTGTACGCTTCTCAGGATGGCACTGCAGCCACTCACTCTTCTGTTTCTTAAGTAATAATACATTTCAGGGGCTTAGTGTACAGAGCTCCTAAAATCCCTTTAGATGAAAAACCATGGTCCCCGTGAACCTAGGTGACCCCGTTCGTGCACGGTGAGGCCGCGGCTCCACCTGGCTCTGACTTTGAGCCGGTCCGTTTACCTTCCCCCTCCTGCAGGGCTTTCTGATCCCCGACGGCCTCGGGCACCAGCTTCCCGTAGCAGTGTCCCTCACTGTTGGCAAACTTCACCGTGTCAAAGTAGACGGACCCATTTGAAACGTAGCTGGAAAACAAAGCCATTGGGGGAGGTATGACGAGGTGCTTGCGGGCCGGCCTGGACAGCCGCAGGCCATTGGGGCATCTGCTCCAGCCGTGAGCCTCCCTTGGTTCGGCCACGCTGCAGGGCAGCCAGGAGGCTGTTCAAACAGAGCTGCTGTGTGGGCTGAGAGGGGCCGGGACAGGGACTCCACACCCCCTGACAGCGTGTCCCTCCGCCCTGCCACTCACCTGGGTGTCACCACCCCGAGTGCCGCCCTTGCCTCTGTCTACACGCCACCACCTGCCCAGCCCGCCAGGCTCTGCCTCCTGGGAGCGTGGGGATTACTCCAGGCCGGGATGCCCTGTCTCCTCTCGCCGTGGCCCTGCCCATGTCACTCAGCTTGGCAGTCTGGAGTCGCCCCGCGGTGACCGTGTGGGGGGTGGTGGTGGTGCAAGGAGCTGCTGTCCCTTTGCGAGAACCCACAGCCCGGTCCCTGTGCCAGGCGCTTCCTGCTGCTCCAAGGCCCCCGCCCGCCTCACCTCGCGCGAGGGGGGTGGCAGCTCTCCTGGGCAGGGGCCTGGCATCAGCACACAGACGCCTGGCCCCCGTCCACACGTCCACTTGCTGCCTGTTTCTGAAAACACCGACTCAGAGACGTGAAAAGTGTTCCACGCAGGCAGATGGTGAGGACGGTAACCTGGGGCCAAATCCTGGCCCAGCAAGGATAAAGCCCACCCGCCTTGGGACCCGACACGAGGAAGATTCTGAGTGCCCACACCATGTGGCCTGCGTCTCCAAGGACCTGGAGGTGCCCAAGGGCAACAGCGTGCTGCTTTGGGGACCTGGTGACGTGTGGCCTTAACTGGGAGCTTCCCAGTGGACCAGGGGCCAGGTGGTACCTACAGCAACTCTCACTGTGGTCCCCAGGGCAGGCCATGGGCCTGGGCAGAGGTGCTGGCCAGCCCCTTGGGCGGGGGTGGCCCCAGGTCCTGGACTAGGCCCCAAGCTGTATGACCAAATCTGCCGGGGGCTTCGGGGACAGGCTGGGTGTAGCCAGCACCACCCTCTTGCTTCCCCTTCCTGCCTAGAACAAAGACATGGCCTCCGTACAGATAAATAGTTGTTTGAACGGCCGCCACTACCAAGGAAAACCCAGAGGGTTCTCTTACAAAGCACCTGGGAAGCTGAAAACCAAGTGGCACAGAGGAAAGGGGCTGCCGATAAGGCGAAGTTACGGCTCAACCGTGTCCTCCAAATCCATGTGCTGGAGTCCCGACCCCCAGCACCTCGGAGTCTGACTGTATTTGGAAAGAGGGTCTTTACAGAGGGAATCAAGTTAAAATGAGGCCATTAGGGTGGGGTCCTAATCCAGTACGACCAGTGTCCTTATAAGAAGAGATCGGGACACAAAGGGAGGGACGAGCGGCACGTGTGCACGCACACAGGGACCCCTGGAGCTGCGCACTGACTCTTCTGTGGTTTGAGCTGCCTGCCGTGTGGTGCTTTGTAACGGGAGCCCCAGGGCACCACCACCCTGAGCAGCAAAACCGTGCACTTCCCTGCTCCTGGTCTGGAGCCAGAGGAGAGCCAGAGGAGAGCTCTCCCTGGAAAATCTGCCTGGAATGCTGCGCACCCTTGAGCAGGGCCTCAAGCTCACCCATAACCGTTGTCCACAATCTTCCGGACGAAGTCCACGATCTCCGGCACGTACTCACTAACGCGGGTTAGGACATCAGGAGGGAGGACCTAGGGACGACGACAAAGTCCTGGTTCAAGAGAAGCTGCAGCACTGCTGGAGCCCAGAAGCCCCCCTCTCCCCGCCGCCATGTTCATCTTTAACTGAATTTACTTGCAAAGTGAAATGGTCTGGATCCCACAAGGCCTTCTGGTCATGGGGGATCCTCAGCCCAAGACAGCAAGGTCAAGACAGTCGGCGACACTTACGTTCAGGGCTTCCATGTCTTTGTGGAACTCCGCTTCCCAGAACTTGGGCAGTTTGGAGAAAATAGAATTGTCGCTCACTTCACTGCCATGCATGGAATCCAGCCAGTCGGAAAGCAGATCCTTTGCTTCTTCCAACAACACCTGAAGAAAAAGAAATAGAATATCCGTACACACGTGCAAGTTTCACGGGCTCACAGCTGATGCAGTCAATCTGCGTCAATCAAGGCCTCGGATGCACAGACGCGGACCCAGACCCAGGAGACCACAATGCTCCCACGGATGGCCTGGTGGTTAAGAGGCCGGAGTGTTCAGAGCTCTGACCATGTCGCTGGAGCATCAGGGTGGGCTTGGGGAGGCCCAGCAGTGCAGTGGGGCTGCCTGGGGCAGGGTGGGAGAGCATGTGGTGTGGTCACCCACAGCCTGGACACCTGAGTGCTCGAGGGGAGGGTCACAACGGGAGGCGGAGCCACCGTCCCGGTGGGAAGTCTCCAAGGCCATGCCGCCCTGCCGGCCACATGCCATTGACCAAAGGCCCCGTGTTACGACCACAATGGTGCAGCATGGGTACGAGTCATGTCCTGTCGCTGCAGCACTCACGCCACACACAGGAACGTCCATCTGAGACGTGATGTGACAGCATCAGGGCTGCAGCCGGAAGTCCCAAAGGCCAGGGGGACGTGGAGCTCTGCCCTGGAGGAATCTAGTGCTTTTGCTCATTAACCGGAGCCGACAGACGTGGGGACAGGCAGGCGGTCTGCGGTCCACTGGCAGGGGTGGAGGCAAAGACCAAACGGTGGAGGGAGAGGGCGCAGGGAACCTGGGCGTGGAAGCGGTGGCAAGGGCACCCCCTGCGGCAGCTCCCAGACAGAACAGAGCCGCTCATGTGCTGCTGCGCTGGGGGGCAGCAGGGGAAACCTCCCAGGACCAGGCTGGTGCCCAGGGGCAGGGCCTGCCCCATGCGGAGGGGCAGAAAGCCCACCCCCGCCCTCGGGATCGACACAGATCATGACCAAGCAGAAGAATGAGATTCCAATCAAACAAACTTCTAGATAATTCTTGGGTTTCGAAACAAGAAATCAAAATGGAAATAAAAAGCCGTTCAGAAGCAAATGACGTCAAAGTACATGGAAGCAGCAAAAATGCTACTTAGAGGAAGATTTATGGCCTCAGATGCTGAAACTGGAAAACGAGCTGAGCGCCTAAGCTGCCACTCTGTCCCGACAATGAGTGAACGGCTGTGCGACCACTCCTCTTAGATCCGTAAGGGAA